TTCTTGATTATAAGTAAAAATTCTTTTTTTCTGGTTTTTCATTTTTTTTTAAATGCTGGACTTGACGTAAATACCTGTCACCGAGTATTATTCACACAACACCTACTTTAAAAGGGAATCTGTAATGCTAAGGTTTGCCATTAAGTTTGTAGCGCCATCCCTGGGATATACTCCGAACTTATTATAGATACTATACGAACTGCTATAGAACGCTTTAAAATTATAGAATACCTAACGGCATCTTTGGATTTCCCTCTAGCACTGTGGAGCTAAATTTGAATTAAATATTCAAATTATATACAAGATATTTTAAGTAAAATAAGACTCAACCTCAAAATGTGTATTTTTTTAAAACAATACATAAAAATAACAGATATGCTAGTTGTTAGTAATCTAAAAATAATCGCACTTACCGATGTACCATGTAAATTTACAATTAGCAATTTCTCTACTTCTCTGAACATTTTCCGAAACCATACCTGAAAAAAGAATTGAATTTCATTAAGTTTATGCTAGGTAAATTTTTCTTATTACACCGTGTGTGCACCTGGTTTATAAAGGTAATCAAAGTTTTTTGTTACTTGAAGATTGAAGTTCAGGAATATGTAATGTAGGAGAAGCTGTTCTTTTCAGACCTCTCTTGGTTCCAGGCACTTTATCACTTTCCGAAAAAAGTAAGTTTGTGACTTTTTTTGTCGAAAACTGGATTTCGCACTTGCTCGATCCAAAGAGCAAAATCATATTTTGCCTTTTACTGATTGTATCACTCCATTAAGCCTTCATTACAGAGATTAAGTTTGTGAATTTAAATTCATTTTAACGCTCAATAGATATCAGTATCACCGACACAAAGCTAATAAACACGCCGACGCTGCATGAAATTCAACTTACAATTCAAAATTACGAATACATCAACGCCAAAGCATTGAACATTGGACTGTCAAAAAGAACGACGGAAAAATCCAGCATCAGCGAAACTCTGTGGTTGCACTTCGTACTAACTATGTAAGATTATTTGGTTGCCTACCAAACATACCTTCAAAGTCACTCATTGAACTTTCTATTATAAAGTAGGTGTTATGTGGTATTATTATTATTATTATTGTGTATTCTTAATATTGCTTTATTGTCGGCAAAGAGACCAGGCTGTCATTTTAGCAATGAAGAAAAGGTCGACATTTTGAGCTACAAAAATACTAAAAATACTGCAAAAATGAATCTTGAGAAATCTAACGAAAGAATGCAGCCAAGTTAGTCTATTTTCTCAGAGTTGGTTCGAAATTTAAATAAATATGGTACATTCAAAAGCCTGTCTCGAAAAATGGAATCTTTAGGGAAAACTAACAATTAGTTGCTGAGAATTCTGAGTTATCAACTAGACAAATTGAAAAAATGTAGGAGTAGCCAAATCAGCAGTCCAATGTATTTTGTGTAAAAATAGAATGATGTCACCCCTATAAATTCACGGACGTGTGAGGGAGATTTAAATTTCCTTTCAAAAATAATATGGTCCTGGGAAAATATGGTCACTAATAATGGTATATATATAATAATCTGCGGGATAAACAAGTATCCAGACATCAAGAACGTTTTGGGTTTAATATGTGATGTGGAATTCTAGGGTCCTAAATATTAGGTCCATTTATTTACCGCAATTCCTTAACTATTGCAATTTACCTTTGGCACAGGTTAATGACTGTTGGTTTCAACTATTAGCTTGACTATGTACTTCCGCTCACAATTCTGCATCATTTACATTATTGGGTTTATTACCAAACCTAACGCCATATAGACCACAGTTCAAGATAAATCGATTAAAGCAATTGTATTGGAGATATGTAGCCGATCTGCTCGACACAAAGATTATTTAAAACATTCTGATGAAATCGAACTCCTACTAGGTATGTTCACTCAAGTACACATACGATATACAGAGTGTAAACGTTTATGGTAGCCATTATTGAAATGGGTAATACGGGGGGGTCAAAACAGGTCAAAAAGTTCATATGAGCCATGGTCCAAAAGTCAATAGATTTTTGTCTTATTGGCTTTATAGTTTAAAACTTTAAGTGCTTTATATCGACCACAATCACCACAATCTTACTAATTTTTATAATCTAATCCAAAACGCTTTTAAATTGGGTAATTAACAAATAAATGGCATTAAGTTTTTCTAAGTTAAGCCAACATGTGTAGTCTGTAAGTAAGTTTCATTAAATTGAATATTTAAAACACACATGCAACAGCGCGATGGTCATCATCACTCTTATTGAACCGGCAATCGATCGCAAACGGTAACAGTGGTTAGTATGTTGTTTTGTTTTTGTGCGCGTACGTCGTCGTTTTGATTTACAATGTTCTCGAATGAAGCTCGTCAGAATTCAAATCTTGCAGCTCAAATTTATCGCGACAGATTTCGCCAACGGGTACACCCAGACAGAAGGACATTTGTGCAAGTGTACCAAAGACTTCGAGATACAGGAATTGTTCAACCCACTGATATTCGCACTCGTGAAAGACAGGTTACTGTAGAGCAGGAGGAACAAATTTTAAATATCGTGGAAATCAATGCAGATATCAGCACTCGGGAATTAGGCCGCTGCGAAGGACTATCGCATACCATAGTCTATATAACTCTACGGGAAAATTGGATTTATCCCTACCATGTACAACGAGTGCAGGCCTTATTACCAGAAGACTATCCTCGCAGACTAACATCCTGTCAGTGGTTTTTGCACAAAAACATTGAAAATCCGGATTTTTTTAAAAACATTCTAGCGACGGACGAATGTACCTTTACGCGAGACGGGATATTAAATATTTATAATACTCACACGTGGGCCTACGAACATCCGAATGCTATTTGTGAAGGTCGTAATGAAGCTTGTATGGAAAGTGGAGGACGACATTTTGAACACCTTCTTTAAATACAAAAAAGTGCAGCAACTTTCACACACCAGGTGAAACGCTGAGACAGTTAGTGGTAAGTCCGTTTTTTCAATTGTTTGCATTTTACGAGTACATTATCAAATAATGAAATAATACCTAAGAGCCAAAAATAACAAACACCATCTTTATTTACACTGCATTCCGTTGTAATTTGCGTCCGGTATTGCGGCGTTGTCAGATTTTACTTTACTTTAAAGTCGCTGTTCTCTAAAAAAATGCCGTTATGACCTCCTTGTTATATGAAACTTTTTGCTTCTTTTAACCCCCTCTATCACCCATTTGAATAATGACTATCATAACGTTTACACCCTGTATACACCAACTGTTGTACAATAAAGACCTTCATTATTTTATCGAAGCACTCTACAGTTCTGCATCTTAAACTACACATTTCTGTGCAATGGAATGTGTATCTACATCATTGATTTCCAAAGTGGTCTATATCGACCCCTAGGGGTCTATGACAACCTGCAAGGGGTCTACGTCAGCGAAAAAAAATTTGGCTGTCCATGAAATGAATATGGGGGTCCACGATAGTGGATCTCAACACATACACTGATAGTACCTATTTACTTACATCATACTATCTTATAATATCAAAACATATATTATTTATAAAAGTACCTATGAAGTAAAAAATTTATTATATATGTTTATAAAATTGTATAAGTTGTAGGATGTTGGTATTCGCTTTGTGGTCGCAATACATTTTGAACTTGTATAAACCTGAGAGTCGCAGTCTCAGAGCAAGGTAGCGAACCTTGCACTGACTTGTTCAATTCGTCACTCTATAAATACGAATGTGGGGCAAATACGTTTATTCGTTTCCTGAATCTTGAAAAGGAAAGTGCTAAGAAAATATTTTTAAAAATATAAACAGATAGTATATCACACAAACTATAGTGAGTCAGTGTTATTTTGTTTGAGAGTGCTGGAGAAAAGTAAGTAGGTACACTATTTTATATTAAATTTTAGTTTTGTACTCGAAGTTAGCAAAGATAGATAAATTACGTCAATCAGGATTTTAGTTATTAGTAGTTAAATATTCAGTCATGCAAAATTACACGAGTACCCCTCAATAGTTTCTTTTGTTGTTGCAAGAAGATGTTCGAATTATGGAATGTTTTCGGAAAAATCAAAAAATATTTTTAATATACAGATGCTGGATAATTTAATTTTGCCCACAGATGACTGATGCCATGTCCGAATCTAAAAAGAAATGTAGACAGTACAGTGTTGATTATTTGAAACTTGGCTTCATTCCATCATTGCCGGACAAACAATCGCCTATGTGCCTTTTATGCAACAAAGTTTTGGGGAATGACGCTATGAAACCATCTAAACTGCAAGATCATCTGAGAAGATGCCACACTGATAAAACAGAGAAAGATTTGAAATACTTTCAAATAATCAAAGATAAATTTCAGAAGACATCTACACGGGACAGAATGTTCGCTTCGACGTCACAAAGAAATGATGATGGTTTGCGGGCGTCTTACAATATCTCGTTATTTATAGCAAAATCCGGAAAACCGCATACTATCGGAGAGAAGTTAATTTTGCCAGCCGTTGAAGAGGTTTTAAAAACTGTTTTACACAAACCTGCATCTGATATCATTAAAAGAATTCCCTTAAGCAACAATACTGTTGAAAGACGTATTGATGAACTGAGTTCTGATATTGAAAGCTTCTTATGTAATTATTTGCAAACGACCCATTTCTCTATACAACTGGACGAGTCAACTTTACCTGATAATGCAGCATTATTATTGGCATATGTTCGTTTTATTATGAATTAAGAAATCTACGAAGAACTGCTCTTCGCAAGAACTTTGAGAACCGACACTAAAGGTGAATCAATATTTCATATTTTGAAGGATTACTTCAAAAGCAATTCCTTTATCAAATATAATATTAGTAACTACAGATGGAGCACCTGCTATGGTTGGACGTTATCGTGGATTTATAAGCTATTTAAAACAAAATGTGTCAGGGGTGTTAGCAATACATTGCGTCATCCATCGACAACATTTAGTTGCTAAAAATTTGAGTGTTAGATTGCATGAATCACTTCATTTAGTCATTGCTGCAGTAAAACGAATCCGAAGCAACGCGTTGAATACGCGGTTATTTGCGCAGTTGTGTGAAGAAAATGACGAACACTTTCAACAATTACTCCTCCACACTGAAGTACGCTGGCTGTCGAAAGGCTTATGTTTGACAAGATTTTTTGCACTTTTTGAGACTATTTAGAATTTCTGGATACTAAAGATAAAATTTTAAAAGAAAATTTAATGAAGAGGAAAACAGACATCGCCTATTTAACAGATTTGTTTACAAAATTTAATATGGTTAATTTGAAATTACAAGGCGACAGCTTAACAAAGTCCATCTTATCAGCGTTTCTTGCCAGAGTTAAACTAATGAAGCAAAATATTGGACGGGGCGAATTTTCTCAGTTCCCCAATTTGTCACAGACAAGCTGCCAGGAAGGCGACGTTTCAACTTACGTTCAACATTTAAATGCCCTCTATTCAGATTTTGAATCTAGGTTTGAGGATATTTTGACTATGGTGATACCACCGTGGATAATTAATCCATATGGTGACATAGAAGAAACGAATGTCATAATACAAGAGGAACTGACTGAACTAAGTACAAACGAAGAAGTTAAGGTTCAGTTTAAAAACGAATATCAGCAATTCTGGCTGCAAAACAACATACCCGTTACTTATCCCGTATTATGGAATATAGCGAGGAAATTTTTAATTTCCTTTCCATCGTCATACCTAGCGGAAAGGGGGTTCAGCGCTGTTACCAATCTCCTAACGAAAAAAAGAAACAGACTGGACATCATTAGCCGAGGAGACTTAAGATTAACCCTTGCAAAATTGACGCCAAATGTTGATAATTTATTATTAAAGCATCAGGTTCATCCTTCTCACTAAAAATATTGACTTATTGCTTATGTTATTTTAATAAATGCCCGCATTGGGAATAAGTGCCCGCACTGATTTTTTTAAAGAACCCCCCTTTATAGAAAATATTTTTTTTAAAATTATTCTGTAAATTCAAGGATAGATACACACTAAAATTCGTTAATTTTTTGCCTATTTTTAGATAACTTAAACGTATAAGAAGCGGAATTTAATCAAACTAACAGTGAAATTATTGTAGAACATACGTTTATGTTGTAATTAATAAACGAACTCGCTTATTGTACTATTTTAAGTAAAAAACTTGTTTTTTTATTATTTTTCACTTTTTTTTTATTTTATACCTGTTATTTTTTTTATGCGGGCACTTATTCCCAATGCGGGAACTTATTGGTCAGACACCTGTTTATTTAATGTTACGTATATTTTACACAACAGATACAAAATTTTATTTTGAGTAGTTTTAATTTAAATTCAATTAATAAATGTATGAATTAACATGTGTTTTTACTTTAAGTTTTTAACACTAAACTTCACTACAGTTATAAATTTACAGGAAATCAATATCAGGTAAGTAGGGGGTCTACCCAACATGGAAAAACATGGCAAGGGGTCTACGACACAAAAAAGTTAGGGGAACTCTGATCTACATTATGGGTAATAATGCTGGGAATCAGGCATTTCTTAATAATAAAACGCCTAGATACCTGTGATATTATAGCAGGACGCAAAAGGTTCGTTAAGTTTACTTATGAAAGACAAAAAAAAACAATGTGCCCGGTGGTAAAATGTACACCAAACGCCTATGGCCTGCACGAAGGTATCCCAGTACCTTTGAGATGACAACTCCCGTTATTCAAACTTACTAACATTTTTGCTTTTCTGCTGGTGCATAGCTTTACCGAGATCCGAACGTGTTTCGCTGATACCAAAGATGCAACATTTACAACTCCCTACCCTCTACTATCCCCAACCCCCAGTTTCCTCTCTTATAAATTTTTGAAAATGAGCATGAGTCTCAGCAGCGTGTCAAACTTCTTTCATCAAAGGCCGAGAGCTACTGTATAAGTTATGCAGGGGCCAAATTTCGGTGGACAGAAAGACCAACAGACAGACCGACAGACAGACCGACAGACAGACATAGTTTTTCGAACTGTCAAATAACATAATATTCCATTCTTGATTTTTTTTTGGCGATCACAATACTTCCCCATCAATTGGCGTGGGAAGTAAAAATAAAGTCTAGTAATAAAATTACTTATAATCTTAGTTATATGAGGTTTCTAAGTGCCCTTGGTGATAACTTAAATACAAGAAGGACCTGATCACAATATTTTCGGATCTACATTTTTTTCGACTACTCCTAGAAATTGTCACATGCTGAAAGGAATTATAAGCATATTATATTATTACAGGCTATTGAAGTGAGATTGTGTAATTAATAATATCTCTTTTCATATACTCTATTTGTTATCAATGATTTCCAGGTATAGGCAAGAAGGTATTCTTACCGCCATGATCCGTCTTCTACTATAAGCGTTGCGTTTTCAACCCTACCGAGTCATCAGAATCACCTTCGTACCAGAGATAATGAACACAAGTGAAAAAAAATAACGAGGACCGAAAAAGTCGTTTAAACGAAGATATTTTAAATGACAGAGAGACTGTCTCCGAAACTATATCTGCTAACGATACAGCCTTAAAAGGTTTAGTCTTTCACAGAATCGCTAACAATTATTTTTTGTTGCCGGTCGGAATAGGGAACCTTTACATTTATTCATACATCGTAGGACCATTATGCTCGGGCTTTCGACCAATTAAAGGGTGCATTCTATGTGTGCGAGCGTGCTGTCTCGTCTCGTTATAAATCAGCATACTTTATATGTAACGTAAGAAAATGAAGTCTGTCGAATACTCTTGTTCGAGCTAGAGACGTATTGGTTGTTCTAGAGGGCATACATAGAGGAACTTTTACTACCACTACTTTCAGATATTTTCATACTTTTTTATCAGTAACGAAATGGGTGTCAGCATCAAATCAAGTTCAGCAAGACACTTCTAGTAACACCTATTAATTGGATTTGGAAATGAAAACCGCGCGAAGTTCGAAATCATTCGGAACAATTAATGTATATCGAAATAAGTCTGCATAAAGTACCATCACTGGCAGAAACGATCACTGCGAAAGTGAAAACATCAAGCTGACTGTTGGAAGTGTATCCGTACCAACGGTGACCGCGCTGGCAGTGCGAACGTTCTTATTGTTGTTCTGTTTTTGTTTGTTCTCCACCGAGACCAAGCCTTCAACATGCTGAGGAGTTGCCAAGTAACCGGTCGAACGAAAGCTATATTACTAAGTATAGTTTTTTTTTTGAGTGAATTAGTTAAAAGTAAACTGAGCTCCCAACAAAACCAAAGCTTTATTGAGAAAAAATATGTAAGGAACAGTAACCAGTTACATTGATCTACTATAAATGTGGAATAATCTCATACAATTTCAGAGCGTATTATTATTTTTCAACGAGTTAGATTGTTAAAAAAATGCATGGAAACGCATTTTGTGAAAAAAATCAATGTTATGCATAAAATGTGCATTTTTGACAAAACAATGTTAAAATTGCTTATCAGTCATCCCTATAAAAAACCATTAAACAATCAGATGGAAAATATTAAGAATACTCATTCATTCAAACCGTTGAAAAAAGACATGTGCGGCGTTTTCTACAGCCAGGTACTTTTCTCCGCAGGTCATCAGTGGCGCACATAGTGGGGTACCCGTATAAAATGCTGACCACTTTCTGGGAGACTTTGCCAATTTGCAGGTAAACTATTATATATCTATCCCAAAATTTGCAGGACAGTAGGTAATTTGCAAGTTGCAAGTCTAGGAATTGGGATGCTTTGGGACTGAAGGGTAATACGAGGGATGTCTTTTAAGTTTTGCATATGGAAATAAAACAACACGGTGGGTAGTTTTAAATGACTTTATTGTTTTTCGAAGTATTCTCCACGAAGATTAATACACATCCGCATGCGTTCGAACCAATTTTCGAAGCACTTATTCCACTCGTTTGCTAGGAGGTCCAAAACGGCATTTTTTAGTGCGTCAACTGCTTCTTCTGGTGACTGGAACCTTTGACCACGCAGTCTGTTTTTAATTTTCGGGAAAGTAAAGAATTCGTTAGGACATGGATCGGGACTATATGGAGGATGGTCCAATAATTCCAGGTTTTCTTCCGTTAAATACTGCCTTGTTTTTTGGGCTGTGTGCGAGCTTGCATTGTCTTGGTGGAGGATAATTCTTCTTTCGGGGTTGATTTTTTGAAGCTCGGTGATGACTTTTGGCAAACAAATGGAGGTATATCAATCCGCAGTAACAGTTCTCTGCTCATTAAGAGGAAGTGTTGCAATATGACCCGCTTTTGACACAAATGTCGCGACCATCTTTTTCGAAACTCTTCGAGAACGGATGACTTTTGTTGGCTTTTCTTCACCTTGGAAAACCTAAACAGCCGACTGGCGTTTATTTTCCGGTTCATAATGGTAAATCCACGATTCAGCACCACTAACGATGCTGTACACATTTCTTGAGTTTCCGGAATTGAAACGGGCAAGCGTTTTTTGACACCAATTAACCCTGGCTGCTTTCTGCTCTTCAGTCAACAGGTGGGGTATCCAACGAGAAACAAATTTTCTTACTCCTAATTCTTCATGTAAAATTTTTTGAATTGAGGTGTTTGAGATCTTCAAGGAGTTTTCGCACAGCATCGCCGTTTTCCTGGGTGACTGCCGTTTTTGGTGCACTCACCCTGGGATCGTCGCTAAGTATCACCCGTCCACGTTTGAATTCTTCGTACCAATGGGAAATTGTCGACTGATCTGGTGCTTCGTTGCCGAAAACAGACAGTAACTCAGCAAGGCATTCTTGTTGCGATAATTGTCTCTGAAAGTTGTAATAAATTATGGCGCGAAAATGTTCTCGGTTGAGTTCCATTTTTCTAACGACTTGGTGACACTTAAAAGTTCACTGTAGTGAGAACACTGCACGTATGGTTGAGAAACATTGAATTTTACTAAATAGTGAGGTTCAGATTCAGTACTGAAGTACGATCCGCGCGGCCCACTATGTTTCTATATGCAAAACTTAAAAGACATCCCTCGTAATCTTTTTAAGATTATTATGGCAATAAATATTTGAGAGGGATCAGGGTTTTAAGTCAGGCAGGGTTTTTACTTAAGAAACCTATATAATGTCAAAACACCGACAAAATATCAACTTGCTAACTTGCTAGTGCTCGCTGTGAGCGTCACCTATGGGGAAATGACTCAACGACGTGCTCAACGACTAGGCTTCAAGTCTGTTCGCCAGCGTGAATTGTTGGTTGCAGAATGCCGAGATAGTCTGTTAAGTATGTATCTTAGAGAAGATGTGAAAGAAATAAAATTGGTTGAGTAGCAAATACCAGAATAGCATCTTTGTGATTGAATGGTGATTATGTATATTGGTCTGCATTTTATGAATCAGTGATATTTGCTAGGCGAGAAAACTGTTACTGAATATGCTGCGCACGAAGTGTAACTGTTAGCTGTACCTGACCGGTTATTTTTGTGTTGTGCTTTTTGAAGAGATGTTATATTCAAGGTTATATCTAATGACCGTCTGTCACGATACGAGATATATGTAGTACAAAATAAAGGATTGTGTCAGACAGCATTTGGTACATAATTTCTGACAATACCTGCTATCTGACATTTTCCCCAATTTGAGGTACATGCACATTTTGCTTCATCTACCTACAGCG